ATCGTTTGTGACAAATCACTTAATTTCTAATATATTTTCCTGATAAAATTTTCTGATTTAATTATCAAGAAAATAATATTCAAATTATGTAAATCAAATCAAACGTCTTTAAAAACTATCACAAACATAGCACATACACAAAGACAAGGTGCCTTTTCTAAATTTCGAGCAAAATTATATGAATGCTTCAACTTAAATTAACTGTATCTCTCGAGTAATATTCGTTACACATGTCAATCTATTTATATACACGCGTAAATTTTTTTTGTTTAACGTTACAAAATACACTATAAGCTTTAATAGAAGAGTCAGTTATAAAATTACGGACTGCCTTGAACTTGGATTACCGTAAATTAACGCGAAAGATAGCTTTACTTAGATAAACCGGTATTTCTTATATCACGTTGAGAACTTATCGAAATCAATCTCATCGCACGAGGGATCATTAAACTCCGAGTTATAAAAGTACTCATAATAAAAAAACGTAAAAGATGCATCTGCTTAAAGCATGCGAAAGAGATCGCGAAAATAATCTCGGTGTAAAAGCGCACATTGAAATTCGATCAAAATCATAATACGAGCTAAAATATACGCTCTTGCCAAAGAAACCGAAAATGTGGAAAAAGTTTCGCAGTTGATCGCAGTAAACTAACATTTGCTGAATGAATAAAATTTTTCAGAATGACCAGACGAAATCTGCAACACATGTCTGGACGGACTCGGCAGAAGGAAGAGTTCAAGGCAGATATTGTCCGTGCTCACGGGGGCGAAACTCCGGTGTCAAGGGCGGTGGCGGAGACGGCGATGCACGGGGATATTAAATTCTTTACCGAAGCGTGTCTGCGCCCGAATAATCTCCGCCCGCCGAATATTCTCCGAGGAGTTTGAGCCTCCCTACACGAGGCGTTTATCGTCGCTCGAATAACATCGGTCGTTATTCGACGCCGAAGAAAGGAGAATCGCGACTCCTCCTCTCTAAAATGCGCATGATGTATAATTTTTCGTTTTTTCCCACGCGAAAGTGGTCCATACATGCATACGCGGAGCACCAAACGGAAGTCTTGCAACGCCCTGACCGCATGTATGAAGAGAGTTTTTGATTCGCCTGTATAAAAATCCGACAGCCATTAATTTGCTTCTTACACTTGAGTGTAAAAAATAGAAGGAAAGAAAGAGAGAGATCGTTACGATAAGATTAATGCAAAAAAGTATAATAATGATGAGAATTACGTTTCGAGTACAAGTATTTTATTTTGTATCACGTAAAGATATTAAAATCGTACGATTAATTGCTCGCGGAAATCGAAATTTAATAACACTCCGCGCTCGGATTTTAATTATAATCGTTGACAATTTTGATTGCAATGCATAGAAGCATTGCTAATAAGTCTGGAAACCTGCCGCGTTCGATGGATAACGGTTCTCGCGAATAGGAGTGAATGCACGAGATATTAGGTGAAACTTTTCAAAATCAAGATTCTCTCCGCTCTATAGCCCGAGTATATTAGATTTTTTTTTATCTTATCATCGTGCAACTTGAAAGAAAAAAAACATATATATGCGTTTCTAGCTGTGCATATCAAATGAGCGCAAGAATCTTGCTTCTTTTTCAGAAGATATTTCTAACGGCGATACATGTTTATATCAGGATATCTACTCAATCTTATGAAAAATTCCTGAAAATTTACTGATCCCCTTCCTGACATTTTTATTCAAAATTTCTAAAATAAATTTTTATTATATGCGTTTTTAATGCTGGTTCCTTTTCAGAAGATATTTCTAACGGCAATACATGTTTGTATCAGAATGTCTACTCAATCTTATGAAAAATTCCTGAAAATTCACCGATCTCCTTCCTGACATCTTTATTCAAAATTTCAGATAAAGAAAATATTTTAAGAATTTTTAGTGCAACTTTTTAAAATAAATTTTTATCGTATGTTTCTAATGCTTTAAACTCATACGAAAGAAAAATATAGAGCCACTTAAATTTCAAGCATTAGATTTGCACATATATTAAGAAAAATAAACTGAACAAGAAACATTTTTCACTTGCATTTTGCAACACACATTTTCATTCTACATTACTAAATATTACAATAAAAAATATGTTTTGTATATTCGTAATATTTCTTAAAACATTTAATATATAAACACAAAGATAGATATATATTTATAGTATATTTTAAACACACAGTAGTTTAAACTTGACTTATTTATTTTCAATTGCTTACAGTAAGATTAAAATTAACAAAGAGAATTTTTTTAAAAATTGCCCCAGTTTTATTAAAATTCTATGAAAATTCTCCGACTTTTCCAAGCATAACAGAAATCCCTGAGAATTCTAGGTTTCCCATTTTTTAGATTTCTCAGCAATTAGACATCTTGTTACATATTATAGCATTGAAGAAAAATTACGATATTATTATACGTAAATTAGATTTGATTCAATTATATTTTATCGTGATAAAATATATTTCGTCTTGTTTCGTCTTGTGAATATCAAATTTATTAATATGTATGAAAGCCGTTCGTCTTTATTTGCTTCATCTTTATTTAATTTATTCTATTTCTACGCTCATACGTATGCTTTACTTTTGCTAGCAATTGTCAACGACAGGCAGAATCCGGCGCGGGAGGATAATAAATAATAGTAGTAAAAGCTAGTTCAGATCGACTCTATGCGAGAGCGAAGGAGGATAAGGCGGAAAGAGCCATTAACCTGAATATCTGCATCGAACGGGGTCTCCCCTCACGCGCATCTTTAATCGCGAGTCGCGTTCCCAGATGCAACGCAATTTTTTCCCGTCAGTTTCCGACTTTCGGATAACTAATTAAAAGCGAGCTCTCTTTTCGCACGATCGCGCGCATGCGTCTATTATAGATGATGCGCCAGACTAATTTCTATTTCATTCTAATTCGCCACTGAGAAAATGAACCGGATCATTGAGCGCTGAATGAAATGAGATGCGTAGCGAGAGTAAAAGTCTCGCGATCGCGACTACAATAGTAATCACCTGCATGAAAGCCAGCGTCAAATATTCCTGACAGTGTATAAGATTCGCAAACCCGGCGAAACGCCTTATTTACACCCAGTTCCATCCCCCATCGTGCGTCATCCAGCTTTTTTCGCAACGCGATGTCTTCCGCAAACGAACGTTATAATAAAAAAAAAAAAAAGAAAGACATAAACCTCCCGGAGGAATTTTCGCGTATAAAGGAGCGATATAGAGACAAGCTCTTAAATTTCGACCGTGTCTTATCTGCATGCCCGGCAAATTTTTCGGTCCCGTGACTGGGATCGAAAGTGATGTCGATGAAACTAAATAACAGGGAAAGATAAGCTATGTCATACGGGACGAACATTGCCCCCGGGATCGTTAATCGGATCGGTTGTAATTACGTGCCTCGTAAATTTTAACGATCCTCGATCGGAACGGCCGATTCGGTGCGCAAAAAAGTGGGCGTTATAATTGACAATATCGGATTTACGAAGATACGGTGATGTCTCGTTGCGCGCGCGAAATCAAGTCTGCGAATATCATTAGAGGCAAAAATCAGTTTTCGGATAATCGCGCTCTAATCGTCGCTTTATTTTCAAATTGTCGGAAAAATGCTGACATTTAAGTCAATTATACGGTATAAAATACACTGACAGAATAAACTGCACATTCACTGCAATTACCAATTTGCTGCAGTTATTTTACGTCAATCGCGAATATATGTGAGCTTATAATCGATATAAAAATATGTAAAATAATCCCGTACAAATAATAACATATAATTACAATATCCCTTTCTATTTTCATATATTCTAAGACATTTTTTTTTAATTTTTTATCAATATATAAATATCTCTATAAAGTAATAAATAATTTTTAGATTGATTATATACGTATAAATTAATTAATCGTATTTTCTCGACAAAAAAACCTGATGTTTTTTCCGATGAGTTTTCTGCAAAAAATCTGACAAGAAATTGATATAAATAAATATTACGAGATCAACAAGAAGAGAAAAGAAAAAAACTGAACCAAGTATTTTTAATTCTCTTTTTCCGTAATGTACGATGCTGAAGTGTGTCAGATGAAAGTCCGAGATGAAAGTTGGAGTCGGGCATGATGTTACGTTAGAGAACTCGGTTTAGATTTAAATTATCTCGCAGACGTATTGTAGAGACGTACAACGACGAGTATCAACTAACTTTTTCGCTTTAACGGTACAAAGACTCGCACTCAGAATGCACTCAGAAATTCCCGCAGCCCGCAGGTGCGAAGACCCGAAAGGTTAACCGACATGTCTGCGGGAGTCTCGACTTTAAATTCTTTGGCTTTTCAACGATATTTCTATAGTGGACATCCTTTATACTCGAGGCATCCTTTTCCCCAGATCTTATCTCCACGCGTTTTATGGCGATAGAATTCGATCCGAATAAGAAAAAAAGATTTTTCCTTCTCTTACAGTCGTCGAAAAGAATTCGAAAAATTCCGAGACATTTAATGTCTCTCTCTTTTAAATCTCTGAATTTTATTGACTGATGCCACAGCTATATTTAATGCAGAAAAACTCCACACAAAAAGTTTTCTCTTACTATTAAAAATAAAAAGAGATTATTACATAACGCGACTCGTTTGTTAACTGAAGGAGCTTTTATGTAACACAGCGAAAGGCAGAAGATTAAAATTTTTCAAGTAAATGGTTAATATTATATTGCGTAATATTATATGTAATTGTAGTATTTTGTCTTAAAATGACAACAACTGAGTTAATGATGGAGATACGGTATTTCATCCGGTATTTAATTCCGTCAAGTTGCATAACATATATCGAATGCTAGATTTTTGCCCGATTAATCCTTATCGCGCGGATCTGAGCGGACTGCCAGGTAGATTGATGATCATTAATCAGATCGTTATTAAGATCCGCGTCGATCGATCGGACGTGCGCGCGTGAATAAGCGTACTCATGCGACTTTGAAAAACAAAGAGGAATGCGCTCACCGTCGTGGCTTCGGACGAAGTATCTCGTGACCTGAATCAGATATGCAGATACTCAGACTGAGCGGTCCCCCGTAGTGCTCCGACGGGGCGCCGGCGGTCTGCACGGTTGACTGTTGAGGACCGGAGATACTTCCGGCCCAGCCGGAAGTGCCGCTTAGAAAGAGCGGCTGTTGTCCGCCGTCCATGCTCGGCCGTTCCACGTTCATGGTATTCCCGGGAGCTAGCACTGCCGGGAAATCTGCAAATTTTAAGCAACTACCATTTTTTTATCACTAAAAATTACAATAAAGTACTACGTATCAATATTTTGTTAAGTATTGAATATATAAACAAAAATATTTTAAATGCAGACTGTTTACAATATGAGAGCAAAATTAGTAAGGAGAATTTTTTAAAATTTCTTCTCAATAAAATTGTATACACGCAAAGAAATTCTTGAGAATCTATATTTTTCTGTATATTTTTCTAGGTAATAAATGTCTTACTTTGATGTATAGAATATAATGTACAATATATTGATAGGATGTACGTATAGATGCATTTGTGATGTATATATAGGTAGTATATATCATTAAATAGAATATATTAATAGAACATATATATATTACAAATAGTTTATCATTTAAAAATCTAAATCTATAATATATAAAATATATAATATAAATATGTTTTAAAAAATATAATTTAAATATAATAATTATTTTAAATATAATTAAATATAAATATTATTATTTAAATATATTATATATATTTTAAATATAATATTATATTTCAACGTTATTTAAAATATATTTAAAATATCAAAAACATATTTTAAACAAGAAGACAACATAATGTTTTGTTTCTTTTTAAAAAAACAATTTTTTTAATTCCAATCCTGATTATATTATATCACAATTCTCTTAATGTATTTCCTCGTTTCAATTTTTATTTTCCTTCTTCTGTTATTTTGTTTCATTTTATATCATTGCATTCTATCAGCACAGCATTTCAAATTTAACGAGGCCTAGTTACAACAATAAATTTCATCATTCAATGATATTGGAAACAACGAGCGACGTATGTTGGTCGCTGCGGAAGGAAAGAACATTGTGAAATGCATTTCCAAAGTCGACGAATGAAAGGAAATGTTGTACAAACACGTCGCACGAGATAATGCAGAAATTGCACTACACAATTCGCACGAGAAAACTATCTAGCAGGAATAATCTATGAAAGAAAGTAATTATGCGAAACTTTCTCGAGCGCGAAGGTCATTAACGAGCGGCCAGATAATTGTGGGTGGATAATTAACCGCTGAGATGCTTATCGCGTTGAGGAAAACAATTATTCAGGTTTTCATCATAGAAAAGAAATATCATATAAAATCATTATTCCATTAATAATGCCAAAATTTTATTACTTATTCAAATGCGTTTTAACAGGAGGAAAAAAGAAAGTGCAGTAGAAGAAATAAATAGATCAAAAAGCGAAAAGTAAGAGAAAGTTGGAAAGCTAATTTCGTAAATCAATTATGGTATGTGTGTGCGAAACAGCTTATAAAAATTTATAAGATGAGCGGAGATATATTTGAGAAATTATATAAACTGCTTATCTTTTCTGCAATATGTATTTAATAATAAATTAAAAATTAGAGAAATTCACTTCTCTTTTTACACACATACACACAATTGACCAAATACGTCATATATTATATATATTTCCGTTTTATTTTCTCAAAAGATATACTACAGCCTATTTTTATGATAAAATCTATCGGTTATATATTCCCGTAAGAATACGGGACGAGAGGAATAAATTACGAGAATATATTTGACCTGAATAACGCGATAACCCAGACGGTATTACCGGGTCAGATAAACGGATGTGTAAAAGTCGCCTCGCGAATGCATCATCGCGAATGCGTCTCTCGGTCGAAAAGTGAGTTTCGAGGATCAAGGATCCCCGATGAGAAATGTTGTCTCAATGCACGGGGGCCCGGAATTCTTGCCCCGCGCACGCATCGTGTTTGTGCTCGTGTTGCTCGCTTTGACGAATTCTCATATGCAATTACTCTGCCAAGGCTCCCAAAGTGCTTCCTTAAGCGTGCGTTTCAAAAAGGGGGACCCCTTGACGTGCCCGGCTGCTCTTTCGGGGAAATTTCATCGATGTAATATTCGCCGAATCTCATCAGTACGACAATTCTTCAAGCAACGACACTGGAGCAGTCGCATAAAACCGCTATCTTGTTTTCAAGGCAATTTTTTATTAATAAAAATCAAGTATAAATCGTGAAAATATCTCTTTCTAAAAATTAATGGAAAATGTAACTTTTATAAATAATCTTGTTGTCTTCAAAGTTAAAAAAAAACCTCGATGTATCATAAATTTTATTCCTCTTGTTTAAGAAAAAATGAGAGTCGCGAACATCGTCTACTTTACATTGTGCAAAACGGGAAACAATTTTTGTAAAATCTTGACATCTATTGATCGCGTTTCTTGAAAGACGAATAGATTGCACACGAATAGATTGAATGACTCAATTCTCATTTCGGTGATTTTAATAACATATGAGAGACTTTGAAATAGCTGAATTAAAATAAATGGATACCGAAAATGATGTTGTGTCCTGAAGTGTACTTTTAACTGACCTCGACTGGTCCCACATACACATCTTTCCAATCGATCGCGGCTGGATATACACGTGCACTCATTTGAGAACGAACGGGCGTGTATACGAGTATAAAGTTGTGTCCGGTATAAGCCTATCATTTGCCAAAAGAAAATCAGGGTCAACCGGTAATCGTTAAGTGATTTTACTAAAAGAAAAACTGAATGTGTGTGTTAAATAATTCTCGACAAAAAATGCTACTTTGAGTAAAATATTTCGTTACAAAATGATCATTAAATTCTCTCTCAATGCTCTCTACGGAATAATATAATAGAAAATACACAAAGAATAAAATGTATTATAATAAATAAAAATATATATAAAGAAACAAATGAAACTATATATATTGTATATAATATATTATTTTGTGTTTGTGTATGTGTATTGGTGTGCATTTTATGTACTATGTGTATTCTTGTGAATATTTTTTTTACATTTTATTTTAATTTTCTTTAACTTTTTAATCTCTTAATGTATTATATATTATCGTATATATTATATATACGGTAATATATAATCGCAGAGCATAATTTTAAAACTCATTAAAGATAAAATTTATACAGAAATTTGTAATTTGAATTATTAAAATTATTTAAAATTTTTTAATTTTATATAAGTAAAGTGTAAAATTAAACAAATAAAGTGTAGAAAAAATTAAAGAACATTATCGATCAATACTCTGCCGAGCTTTTTAACAAAAAAAAATATTAGATTTACTTATTCTACCTGTCTTTGTTAACTTTTGGTAATAATAATTAAAATCAGATGTGCATATTTTCCTGGAAATATACTTGCTTTCATTAACTTTTTTTATACCATATTATTACATATCAATCAGGAAAGAATGTGATATCTCCAGTGAGTATACCCCTGGCAAATCAGGGAAGTGGTTAAAATATATGACGATACACAGTGATGCCTTCAAGGCGACACCTGACAGCTCCGACTTGTCTCGATTAATCCACTGATGATTACCGGTCCCTTAAGGGGATCAATTGCATCAATGTAGGCGTTAATTCTAAGTTAAATAAATTTTCCATTACTATTTATATATCAATAACTGGAATTGGTATTTTAAAAATGCGAGATTTATATTTAAAAAGAATTCTATAAATATAAAACTTGTATTTTTAAAAAAAAAGAATAACGGCGACTCGGTAGAGCCAAGCTGTAAAAAAAGAAGAATAAAAATGTATAAAGTCAAAATTTAAAAAATGAAGAAAGCTGATTTTTTGTATAAAATATAAACTCTTTGTCTCTTTATGAATCCCTATTTTTTATGCTTAATTGCCAACTATTTTTAAAGCGTAAAACAGAGTAGAATTCTTTGCGGGAAAAAGTCGGAACTCTCATGATTATGTCGAAATTCTCTTCTATCCTAGGAAGAAAAAGTCCATATATAATCAAATATAAATATATATCATCAAGTATAAAATTCGTCTATATATAATATTTTCCTTCTCTTATGTAATCTCTGTCCGTATATATAGGAAAAAAAAAACAAGAATAATTAAAAAAATAATTAGAAGAATATTTTTCATTGTTTTTTCCAAGTGAAATTTGAAAAAAAAATCACTTATATATAATCACATATATCTGACACAATACTATACAATATGATTATACATATGTTTTTTTATTTCTTCAAATTTTATTTTTTCTAAAAATAATAAGAAAATTTTCTAATTAAAATCTTTTAATTACTTTTCCTGTATATATGAAAAATTATGCAAAAGAAACAAAATATATACAAAACATATATTTTATATACAATTATATATATTTACATTTATATCTGATTATTTATATATCGACTTTTCTCCCGGGTTTATTTTAATTTTAGGAATGAGATATTGATTTTGCAAAAGTTCCTCATTTGCACCACTTTTTTCTCCTTTCATTTCGTTTGCAGAGACTCGAAGGATTACGAAGGATTTAAAGATTCGGTCCGAATTGAACGCAAACGCGTGGGTGCGGACGAAAGTACGATCGGGGCGCGTGATACTGTTGACGCGGCGTTGAAACCCGTACGTAGGGATCTATACGCGGCATTGAATACACGTGTATGTACATACGTATATATAAGCAATGTAGTGTAAGCGACCGCCGCATTCCAAGAGGGCTGCCCAAACTAAAGCCTATACCTTATACATCGTTCTTTCTCTCTCTCTCTCTCTCCCTCTCGCTGTCTCCTCTCTCCCCGCACCCGCTTTATCACGATCCTTCCTCCGCACCTCTCTCGTTCATCTCACCAGCGCTTTTTTTCTTTCTCTTCTCCTTTTCCCCTCTTCTTCCACTCTATCCTTCCTAGCGTCTCTCGCAAGAATCCGCGTTCATCTTGTCCTCTCCTCTCTTCTCTCTCTTTCTCTCTACTCGAATGAAATTTACATATTTCGCCCTGTTTTTCTCTACTTTTTTCTCCTCTTCGCGAACGTCACGTGACACCTGATATAATCGACGTCATCGGATTTGATTCGATCGCGAGATCTTATGGCATTGATACTCGTGTGCATCGAAACGCTCTTATTTTTATCTTTTATCAGAATAAAATACGCGCATACAAAAATAGATTCCTATGATGTTGATTAACTTCTACCGGCAGTTAACTGTCTTTTCATCTTCCTTCATGTTGTAAAAGGAAGAGAAGGATGTTTAAAATATAACGTTTAATATAGCTCAAAGTAAATATTGGAGGAACCGTGTTCTTAACGGTCCTAACGGTTCACGTTTTAACATCCATGAGCATTATCTAAATACGAAGTAAGATTTAAGAGACAAAAGAGTAACGAGAGTGATTTAATGTTCTCTAATATCGTGAAAAAAATTTGTGTTTCATAAAGTATATTTTATACCTTTAATATAGTTTAATACAGTTACTTAATTCTACTTTTCTGTACCTGTAGTAACTGTAACTTTAAAGACCCAATGAATTCTAATTAATTTTAATATTTTTGACCAATAATTGCATCAATTGCATTTTTTATTCAAATTGAAACATCCATATTTTCTATAGATTTTTAGAAAATGACATATACAAGTAATACGTGAATTTTGACGTTTATCATTACATTCACCTCAGGCAAAGGATTTTTCAGAAATATTATATTAAAATAGCTATGAGCAAACAAAATTTATGATTGATGGGCTTAAAACGACTAAAGTCGTTTGTCGTTTCCACCTGTCCTCGATTGCGAATAAAACGTGGCTTACCAAAAGTCGTTCAACGCGTTGACAGAAAGGGGCACGTCCTCGGGCCGTCGGGCACATATCTGAGAAGCTGAAGAGAAACTACCAAAGTTCTTGCGAATCAGGTCTCGCGTTCTCCAGCAAATTTTCGTCTCACTTGCACCGTTTTTTTTACTACCATCAAAAGCAGCAGGTGTGTTCTCTTTGGAATTGCATTGTCTATAATCTTCTTATGATGATTAGATTTTAAACAGATCGAAAAAGCTTTCTTTTTTTCCTACTGTAGCAGCTTCTTTTCCTAAAAACACACACACATATACACTTTATTTTTACAAATAATATAATTTATTGGCAATATACAAAAACTCAAGAAGAAATATAAAAATATACCAATTTGTTTTCTTGTGCAATTTTTATTTCACTTTGTAAATTTTAAAAGTTACAAAAGTTTGCATACATCTCGCAAAAATTTCAATCTTCTTAGAATCAAAATCAAATAATTAATAATAAACAACTACGTTATTTTCAACTTTATATGTTTGTTCAACGGAAAGCTAATTTCTCTACTTTCAAAAATCCAAACTACCAATATCTTAACCTGTCTTCACTAAATTTCTTCCATTTATCCCATTCTTTCCATATGAAATTCTGTTGCAAAACATTAAAAAAAACCGCGATAAATTCAATTTAAATCTCGCAATTTTTAAATTTAAATTCGATTCGAAGATCGATTCCTTCGCAACCAAGCACAAAATTGTTTTTCTTTAACAATTCAACATCGACCTCGAGATCCTTACGCATTTCAAGCGTGAAAAAAAAAAAAAAGAAAAAGGACCAAACCAAAGGAACAAACCTCTCGTGAGATGCGCGTGGAACTGTAAACACACCCGGGCCTTTAAAAAGGTATCTCTGTCTCTCTCGTGCACGGCATGGCACGGCGAACCCGAGACGCCGAATGAGATCCTGTCCGATTCGAGCCGATTTTGTCTCCGCAGCAATCGCTCTCGGCGATTCGAGATTCTCGCGTTGATATCGCGCCGATTTCTCCCCCTAAATCGCGCGCCCTTCGCGATCGCGCACTCCCGCTCGACCCTCGACCGCCGCCGCTTTTCGGCAGCTGTCAATTACTGCCAACACAGTTGCCGCGTTTATGCAGCATCCCGATCCGACCGCTCTTTCGTGGTCCAGGAAGATCGTCCGAGAGAAAACAAAAAAACTCGCGCGAGATTGTCGGACAGTCGCGACAGCGCCATCTGACGGACACCTTCGGAAACCGTTCGATATCGGTCGTGGATAATGAGACGCGATAAGTAAACGACGATGCTTTTATATTTATTTTATTACAAATGTAAAATTTCGTTTAAAAAAAGTTGCTAATCGCGCGGGAATTTATACGGATTAAAAGGTTGAATAAAAAATGAAAGAAGATTAAAGTTACTGCGTATTTTTGATAGAGGCGAAATCGTGCCGCCAAGTGTGTTTATAACCTAAATTAATACGCTGTTCTATCGAATTGTAAATTATTCGGTCTGTGATATTTGCTGACAGTTGTCGAACAATTTTTCTGAAACGACAAATCTGAAAATTTAAATATAAGATTATATCCTTCTAATATGAATGTCTTACGTTCGTGTGTTAGAAGTATTATTTTAAGTAAAGGAATACGCTCTGTAAATTATGAAGGTTAGACTTGCTTCTTACGACATATTATTTAGTTATTAAAATTAGTTATTAGAATTGTGATATTTAGAATAATATAAAATTTATCTATATAATTTTGTGCGCAGGACAGAGATGTATTAAAAGATGGGTGGCTCCAACACAAATAGAAATAACTAGACGCAAGAAGAGAGAATCTAAATTGATCCCAAAGCGTAATACTTTTTTGGAATGGAATAGATCCGCAGAGATTTATGCGTTTAATAAAAGGCTATCCGAAGATTTCAAACCTGAAAAATTAGAACAAGCTTTCACTTTTAGATCGTATGTTATTCAAGAAGAGCAACGGCAGAAAGAAATGGGAATGGAAGATCCTAAGCTCGATATACAGGATAATACAGAGCTTATCATGAAAGGCGAACAGCTTACTTCGGAAATTGTACAAAATTATTTAACCCAAGTTTTACCTCTAGCACCTGAGAGCGTCATAATGTAAGTATGATTTAAATAAAAATTGAATTTCATATGTATAATTCTATTGAATAATAAAAAAATAATTATATTTTAGTTCATTATACAATTATCTTCTTTCTGAGGAAATTCTTGCCAAGGTAGCTTGTCATATTGGTGCAAAAGATATTATTTTAACTGAAGTAAGTATAGATATCTAAGAAATATGAATTCTTTATGTTAATTTAATGCATGATGTGCCTAAAAGTTATCCAAAGTATTTGATAAATCTGTTGCAAATAAGAAATAATAATTAATAAATAATTTTTGATTCAGCATTTCTTATTTCTAATAATGTTTTAGGAACATCCAGTAACAGAGAAAACTTTAAGCGATACGTTTTTCGCACTTGTTGCTGCTCTCGCAGAAAGTGTAGACGCGAATCACGCGGCAAATTTCGTTAAAGATTTCCTAATTGTACTTCTAGCTGAGAAAGATTTAACAGAAATTTGGAATCCAGCTGAACCTGTCGAAATTTTAAACGACGTCCTACAGAAACAAAACAGAGCACTCGCCGAACCGAGACTTATCGGGAAAGCGGGACAAAATACGCTTTTAGTTGTATATCATATAGCAATGTATTCCGACAAAAAGTTTCTGGGTTCAGGTAAGTGACAGTAGGATATAATTTTATTTAATACATTCGATTTAATCTAATATACTCAAAATATTGTTTACCTATTCGTTTTAAATATTTATAAATATTAGGCTTTGGTCAAACAATCCAGGAAGCCAAGAATGTAGCTGCCATAAATGTCCTAAGTCGAATGTTTGGTTTATTAGATTCTAGTAAACCAGTCAAAATCGACCATGCGATAAATGTATTCTCGTAAAAGAAATGTAATTTTTAATTTGCAAACAAAATATTTAGTATAGTAGTATAAGAAATATTGAAAAATTTTTTTTGAAAAATATTAATAAATATATATAAAAACTGTAAAGAGAGAGATATACTACCTAAAAAACATGTAAATAAAATATCTAATTAAAATTATTAATATATTGATACGATATACTTTTTGATGCTCTTAAAAATTATATGTTTCTGATTTTTTATCATTCACATATATATAAAATAATATAAGGTACAATACAAACAGGAGCCTTAAGCTTGTTTACACGCTTTGAAAAGCACAATCATTAGCTACCTGGATGGCGCCAAAGAAATCGTCCAATAATCGTCAAGGCAGTCTCATGAAAATGGGAAGGTACGATTCTTTACAACTTATCTCGTAAGAGGGCACCAACAATGACGAGAGTCCATTTTACGTATCTTTATGCAAGTTTCTACTCTATCTGATTTTAGTTGAAGCGAAAACACGCGCATTGCGAATGCATGCTGTGCCGGAGACGAACCTCTCCGGTCGAGCTTCGGATCATGCGATCTTATCAGCGATTAGAGTCTTTGCTACTCGAGAACCAGAATGTCAAGTTTGCGCTATACGATACTTGGAAACTCGCTTAGACCCCGATTTTTCCAAGAATTTTATTTCGCTCAAGATTGAAAATCTCTTCATTTATTTAAAAATGTTACACAAATAATTATCCTACGCTCTTGTATTTTTGTTTTACACCGAGAATGAAATTTATTAAAATTCTAACGCTGTAAATTTTATCAAAAAATTCTTATTTACATATTTTCCTCCATTTTTTACAGCGTACACTTTGCAAATACATAATAAAAGCCGCATGCGTCGTGAATGTTAATAAAGTTTTTCTTAGCGCACAATATGAAGGAGAGACGCGTTATGTTAGTTTCCTCTTTCGAAATGTGTTGTACTTTTTCTTAATCATCGACTCGACTGGAGAGTGTTCGATACCGATTATAACGCAAATCGTTGAATTTCATATTTCATGCGGATGTGGTTACGAGGATGAAAGGCGATTCCGTGCACGCAAAGTAACAATCAAAGTTTGAGTACGACAATTTCTGGCAGATGGCTTCGAAAATGGATTTCCGCGAACTCGCAGCAGCTACCTTTAACGATGACGATGCCGATGCTCTTGTGGAAATGACGCAACTAACTAATGGAACTAACTATTCAGCTGCCTAATGTTCGTATCGCATATGCGACGAATGATGTTTAACTGTCGCCAGATGGAATGGCCGCTCATTAAATGACAAAGATGTATCGAGGACACGGCAACGACGGCATCGAAATCGAATAAAAGAGACCTGTCAAAGAAATTGATACCAGAGAAATTTTTTTTTAATGAAATTTAAACATTCTTTTCTATCTATAATTTTTTCCATATTTTATATACATGGTGTCCCAGTTATCTTCCGTCATCTTTCAAAGACAGATTCCTGGGATCATCTGAAGACGATTTTTCTTCAATGAAAATGTCGAGGCATTAATAATTTTCGAATTATAAGAGAAAATGGAAATAAGGGATTTTTCGTAAACTAAGCTTTATAGAAATAAAATATTAACAAAACCACATTCTTTGATTAATTTTAAATAGAGTTTACTTTAGCTGAGTTTTAATTTAAGACTTATTTGCAAAGATATATGATGACAAAAATCGGAAACATGCAAAAAATGATGGCTTTCATTGACATTTTCGCTGAGGAAAAATCGTCTTCAAATGATCCCAGGAATCTGTCTTTGAAAGATGACGGAAGATAACTGGGACACCCTGTATATTTGACATTAATATATCGTATTCTCTTCGCGCCTATAAAAAGGTGCCAAAATTATTTCCAACAATAGCCTATCAAAGAGAAATATATCAGTCAGGAATTTCCGCATCGTATAGCTTGCAAAAATTTTCCGCGTGATGCGCGTTTTTCGATTCGATTAAAATCGATCGATTAAAGCAATTATCAATTTGATTTAAAATAATAAAAATTGCCAATAAATAATTTCTCGCAGGAATCGAGCAATTTTAATTCGCGGAAGAGAGAGAAAGTTTATATATCGCGACAAATATTTTCATTCCAAAAGTTCGATTGCAGATGCAAATTTATCGCGTGTCATTTTTCAAAAAACTGTCCGCGTATATATCTTCGCGTCCTAGTGCATAAATATAAAAAAAATGGACGCCCGCATAATTCCGTCCATTACTCGAGTGGAAAAAATAACTTAAAAATTAGTCTCTCGTGTCCGATCGTCCGGTTCAATAATGACATTTTCCCGTCGATGAATCTCCAATTTCGGAAAAATATCGGCTCCGCTCGCGTACTCGCTTTTCGCGCGCCGCAATCTCTCTTCTTATTTACGGCACGTAAATAAGAAAAAAAATCGCCCGACGCGTGCAAGTACAGCACGCGCGTCCGCGCACAAGTCACGCCTTGATAAGCACTGTCGCCGTAAAAAAGATCGCCGTCGTATTTTCTAGCGGTATCTCGACGAACGGCCAATGACGACGTAGGAATCGATTTCGCGAATAATGGAAACGGCTCGCGTCACTTTCGCGTCGCGCGGTCCTTGCACTTTTAACGACGGAATTTGCGAAATTGCCGACCGGTGTCATTGATCCGTAAATTGTGTTCCGGAGCTGAGAATTGTCCTTTGAATGAATCATACCGTCATGCGGGAATTTACGGTCCGGGGATAAATTATTCTCCTTGCGAAGGATCATCGCGTCTCCCGCGTCAAATGACATTGCAAACTTTTGTACGAAAATCGAAGAAAAAAATACAAGCCTTTTGCGTTACATTTTTTTTTTCAGAATCCCAAACTTTAAATTTGACAGACGCATCGATTTCCAATCCGAATGTCGTCTTCTTTTACATATTTTATTCACTTATTCGATAAAAATTGCTCCGTTTCGTTTTTTCGGACACATCTCGTCGATGCCTCGATCTTTTCGTCCAATGCACGATCGTAAATGTGCAAAGAGTACGATGCTCGGCGTACGGGAAACGTTACATCGCTAACGGGAAACACACTATATCGCTAGCAGACTGGACGACGCGTAAAACGTATCCGTCGTCGGCGAGCGCGAGTTTACGATACATTGCCTGCTACACCTAACAACGGAAGAAAATGAAACGGTGCGAGTCAAACGCGTTTCACGCACTTTGATATTTTCAATATGTAAATATTATTCGTCGCGACGCGTAACGCGATGCGAGGAGCATCCGCGTTTATCGCGACATTTTGCCAACTTTATTTTTCGCGCTTTATTATTCTACGTGATCGCGTGGAAATTTTCACGCGGCGGCGTTAGACGATTCCATCGTTCCGAATAAAATTGCACACGTGTCTGCAAATTGCGAGCTGCAGTTACGTGCGGTAACAATTGATCGCGAGATTAAAGCGTTTCGAGGAAATCTCGAAAAATTACCTGGAGAAATATGTAATGTATATCGCGTATATTTATATCTTAAAAACATTAGTCGAGTTCTCCTTTGACGATGATACAGGCTATAAAAAAACCACTTTTCATCTCGCTCTCTTCCTCGTCATAAAAATTCTCTCTCCTTTACGAGAGATTTTAAATACTAGTAATATTTTTTAATCTCGTAAAATATTGACACATTCTTTTTTTGCTATTTTTAAAATATTTAAATTTCACGAAAAAGAGTTGTCGATTGGCACTAATCGTAAATTGGAATTGAAATTATATGTAAATAGACGGACGATCGCGAATCGTTTTTCCATTGACCTCCTATTTTCAGGTCTATGATTGTAGCTCGTTGCTATTAGATTACACGCGGCTGCATACGGTAATTTAATAAAAATAGCAGGTGTACCGTGTCGTATCCGTCCTCCCTCTCTCTCTCTCTCTCTTTCTCTTTCAGAATGGAGATGGTCGCTATCGCAAACTGCGTACGCAATTTTGAATCGTATAAATTGCGAATCGCGGTTATTAAATCCGTCGGTTTACCGCCTGTACTAGACTCGGGGGTTTACATCCATAAAAAATAGATCAATTGGCGGAATCGCATAATCCTGCGAGATATTTTTTTTTTCGTACGTCAACACACACACACACATACACGTATGCGTGCCAAATCTCGGCCGCCAAAATCGACAGATCGTCAAAGACGTAGGCCCGACTCTCGGTCGGACTCGACGACGCGGTTGAATGCCATTCTAAAATTTTTCTATATCGGTCGCAGGTATAATATTGATTATTTATGATCCACGCTATCCCCTTTAAGGTGGTTCATCCTTGTCCCCGCGCGTCGTACCTCTCCGCCGTGCCACCACTTCTACCAGTCTCCGTCCGTCTTCGTCTCCCGCCCACTCTCTCTCTCTCTCTCCCTCTCTCTCCCTCCGCCTCTCCTCCTCGCTCGCGCTCGCTCGCACGCCCATGCGCGCACACAAGCACACGTCGTACACAGACGCGCGCTCCCTCTCTCTCTCTCTCTCTCGCTCTTCTCTTTCTCTCCTTCTCGCTCGTATTATTCCCCTACTGGCTCTCCATTCCTGCGTGTAACGACTCAATGGCGCTGCCACACCCTTGCGCCATCCAGTAATCAGTGCTATTGTTTTATAGTTGCTCTTCTCCGCTATTGCTTCTCGATACTAGGAAAGGCGACCCATCGATCTTCCATTCGACCGAGGTTCGAGCCGAGCCGATCCAAAGCGAGAGCCGGGCGAGGAACGGTATACGAGGCTCTCGTTTACGGGCTGGAGCCCGTATTCGCTCGCTGAGCGCTTCGCGATAAACGTGCGACTTAGGCTCGAGATGCGTTTTAAAATACCCGCATTTTACCCGCCATCGCGCGCAGATACGCAGTCGCGTTTTAGAAATTCTTGGCGCTCTAATACGCGTGCGAGACGCGGATCCCCTCGAGGTGATCGAGGCCGTTGTTAGCGCGTCGAAAAATTCTGTCGACCGCGGGGAAACGATATCCAGCGTGCGAGCGCACTCGATATTCTTGATTCAGACTCGAGACGCGGTAGGCGTCCGGCGAAACGAGCGTTTAGGGCGCGGTCCT